TAATTTTTTATATTGTTCATTTTATTTATTTATTGTGGCACTGGAGGTCAAATCCAGGGTCTCATGAATGCTAGGCAAGCACTCTACTACTGAACTGTGTCTCCACCCTATTTTATTCACAACTTATTTGGAGGGAGATAATAGGGATTGAACCTAAGTGGGCTTTAATAGTTGAACTATAACCCCACCACTTTTTATTTTTTATTTTGAGACATGGTCTTGTCAAGATGCTTAGGGCCTCACTAACTTGCTGAGGCTGACCTGGAACTTGTGATCCTCCTGTGGCAGCCTCCCTATCTGCTAGGATTACAGGAATGCACTACTATGCTGGATGTGTTGTAGAAAAACCGTTTATAAATACTAAGTAACACTGATCTGAATAGAAATTATTTCCTTTATTATCTTGAGTGCTTTTCATTCTATAGAATTCACTGCATAAATATTTTTCATAAAGAGTAATACAATATCTCTATGCAAACGTGTAATGATGATAAAAATCCTATAGGTTTAACTCAAAGTCAGCCTCCCCACCCTCCCCCAGAGAGCACCAATGGCAAGTATCTTGCGATTTAAAAATGTTGAGGAAAGGATATGGCTAACATAATAACAAAGTCACTAGCAGGTCTCATGCTAAAAGAAAATTCTTCAAATTCTCAACTTAAGATCTGAGTTTTAAAAACCTTTGAAAATTAAAACAAGTTTTAAACTACTCCACTTAACTTGGACATATTATGAGAGACCAACTACTTACAGTGTCTTATTAAAATAAGATTAACTTACATACAGACAGTTAATAGTCTCATCCATTAACATAAATCATAGTTACCTGGGCTTTATCTATTATAAATGCAAACTCTAGGGCTCTATGTGCTCTGAGGGTCTGATCCATTAAGTCTGGGGTAGCTGCTATACCTTTTACCACCCCAACCTACATTTTAAATAATCAACCCGGTGGCTTCTGACCCCAACCACCAGGAAAAAACAGCCTAGAAGGTTCATCCACTTCACCTTCAATAAGTACTAAGTTGGAGATAATACAATACTATTTAAAAAAATCTTAGATTTCCATGTGGAAAACTCAGGGAAAAAGGGCATCCTTACTAAGTGTGTCACTCTGATACTAGACAATTGGAGATTTGTTATGGTTTTTGTTCTTTCTACAAGAACCACACAGTAGACAGCAAGTATAATGTTAAAGCTCCAATAAAGACTCAGAACTAAACCATGAGCAGTGGCATACACCTGTAATTCCAGCAGCTCAGGAGACTAAGGCAGGAGGATCTCAAGTTCAAAGACAGCCTCAGCAAAAGCAAGGTACTAAGCAACTCAGTGAGACCCTGTCTCTAAAATAAAATACAAAATCGAGCTGGGGATGTGGCTCAGTGGTTGAGTGCCCCTGAGTTCAACCCTTGGTACCAAAAAAAAAAAGACTTAAAACTAAAAGGAGCAGCCCAAGACATTTTGGTAAAGAAAGGCCCAGAATGTACTGATTGTGTTCTGGCTCAGTAGTGGAGCATTTGCCTAGCATGTGCAAGGAGGCACTGGGTTCGATTCTCAGCACCACATTCTCTATAATCCTAGAGACTGAGGAGCCTGAAGCAGGTGAATTACACATTTGAGGCCAGCCTCATCAACTTAGTAAGGTCCTCAACAATTTAGCAGACCATATCTCAAAATAAAAAATAAAACGGGCAATGGGCACAGTGGCACATACCTGTGATCCCCGTGTTCTATAAACAAATAAATAAAGATCCATCAATAACTAATAAAAATATTTTTTTTAAAAAGAACCTAAAATCAGGCTGTTAACTTATATGAAGGCCTCTAGAGAAAACATCCAGAAGACTGAGAATTTTGATTCCTCTGAGAACCTGGCACAATGTGGAACAGACAGAAGACCCTGGTACCCATGTTAGGATGTAGAAGAGATTTTTGATCTAGTTCTCATCTCATAATAAAAATGCCAATAAGAAGTTAGAGTGGGGCTGGGGTTGTGGCTCAGCGGTAGAGCGCTCATCTAGTACATGTGAGAGGTTTGATCCTCAGCACCACACAAAAAATAAATAAATAAAATAAATGTATTGAGTCCAACTATAATTAAAAAATAAATATTAAAAAAAAGAAGTTAAAAGGGCCAGGCACAGTGATGCACACCTGTAACCCTAGTGGCTCAGGAGGCTGAGACAGGAGGTTAAGGCTGTTCAAGGTTAGCCTCAGAAATTTAGTGAAGCCCTAAGCAACTCAGTGAGATCACCCTGTCTTAAAAAAAATATAAAAAAAGACTAGGAATGTGGCTCAGTGGTTAGGTGCTCCTGATTTCAATCCTCAGTACCAAAAAAAAAAAAAAAAAAAAAAGTTGTGGTTACAGGTAAGTTGGGGGGGGCTGGGGTTGTGGCTTAGCGGTAGAGTGCTTGCCTTACATGATCCAGACTCTGGGTTCAATCCTCAGCACCACATAAAAAAATAAACAAGTGAAATAAAGGTGTTGTGTCCAACTACAACTAAAAAACAAATAAAAGGTAAGTTGGAATTGCTGTTAAAACATATTAAGCATTACTTACAAGTTTCACATTAATTTCTTTTTATAAATAGATATTTAGAATTAGATTTCAAGCTGCAATCCCCTCCAGTTCCTACTGCAGAAAGCTCTCTGTGAATCGGGTAAAATATCTCAACCACCAATGGAAGCAATCTACTCATCTCATCAGAATTCTGTGGAAAACCACTAAGAACAGAATAATTTGCAACTTAGTTCATTCATCTTCAGAACAGATATTTTAAAAGTACTTTACTAAGTCCCCTAAATAATCTTTCAAGGATGAAGTTGTGGCTCAGTGGTAGAGTGCTTGCCTGGCATGTGTGAGGCCCTAAGTTCGATCCTTAGCACCACATATAAATAAAGAAATAAAGTAAAAAATCCATTGGCAACTAAAAGATATTTTAAAAATAATAATAATCTTTCAAACTGATGTGCCAATTTCCTCTAGTCAGTGTACTTTACAACATGAATTCTAGCAACATGGAAAATGGCCATGAAACATTATTCTCATTTTGTAATATGGAAAAATTAAAAGACTAACAGATTAAGTTGGTCTAATAGAATGAGTAAAGGCCTTATACTTGTACAGACTTACATTAAAATCCAATTCTATCACTAATTTTGAGAATTATTTAACTTCATTAAGCTCAGTTTTCCTCATGTGTAAAGTGGAGAAAATGATTCCAACTTCACCATGACTTGAAAACTTGAGAATGTAAAGCTGGGTGTGGTTGTGCACATCTGTAATCACAGCCACTTGGGAGGCTAAAGCAAGGGATTTGCAAGTTCAAGGCCAGCCTCAGCAATTTAGGGAGAGTCTATCTCAAAATAAAATTAAAAAGGTCTGGGGATGCAGCTTTGTGAGCATGCCTGGGTTTAATCCTAGTACAGCAAAATAAATAAATAATTAATTAATTAAAATGAAGGAAAAAAAACTTGATAATGTAACTAAAGCACTTAATTAAGCTTTCTGTTCACCTTAAGGTAGCTGATGTTATTACCAGAAACACACTTGCAGATCAGAAAATAGTGAAAAATACATTCTAATCCTCCTAATTGCCTGCCTAAACTTATCTTACCAACCAAACTTTTATAACCTAGAGTAGGTTTCTTAGATTTCAGGAGCCTTTCAATGAGAACAATTTCAACTTACTCTCTATATTCCTAGCCCAATACAAGGTTTCTATGCCTTAATAGTCCCCACTTCCCCACCTCCATTTAACAAACGTTCCTCTTTAACACCTTTCAGTTCTTCCTTCTTAATAAGTCCCCCCTTTTTATGCCCAAATACTTTAGTACTGGATCTCTGGCCTAGTACAAAGGACTCCCAAGAAACCATTTATTAAAAAACTTATAAGCTGACAATACTTGCATCATTATTCTTACAAACATTTGATCTTACAATCAGACAAGACTGATGTAACACCACGATTTTACAGTTAATACCATAGCTAGAAAGCAGCATAAGTCCAATTTAGAATTCAAAATTTCAGATCCAAAGTTTAATATTCTCTCAAAGTATACAGTTATTATCCCTTGCATATTCTTTTTTTATATCATTTGCTCATTAAAAGATGGAGGAAACCATCTTTGTACCTCTTGCTATCGTTAGAGCACTGTTACAAGGGTCCGCTTACTCCCTACAGTATTTTCTAGAGTATATAAACAGTTCAAGCTACCCCAAGACACTAAGGCCAAAAGTTACTTTCAATGCTTCCTGCACAATCTTCAAATAAGAAAGAATTCTGGGATGCTTTACAAAAGATCTAAGATGCCTGGGCCACAATCCCTCCATGCTGCCCCACCGTTTCCTCTCCCTAGAGTGTTTTCTTCGGTCTGACATTCCAACGGGAACCCATCTCAACCACAAACGACCCTAGTCGCCAAACAGACTCGTGCCCACAGCTAAGACTTCCTCGCCAAGCAAGCAGAACTCCTCGGAACATTTACCAATGTTCTTCCTCTCTGTCCACAACCCCTTTCCTAAAAAACTTCATCTTCCTGAGTCCGCACCTTCTCAGCTCTCTCCCCCTCCCATCGCCCCACGCTTACCCTTGCACCTCCTCCAAAACCTCCCAGCTTCCAGGGTTGGCGGGCGATACTTCCTATCTCTCCAGGCCCGGATCGCTTGGCTTGCAGCCCGCCGCCCCGATCCGGCCCCAGTAGATCTGATCGTGGCCCCCTTCGGTACCCCAGAGCCCGAGGCCCATCTGCCCGGTCCCTGCCCCGCCTCCCCGCCCAAGGCGCCAAGTCCTCGGTGCTCGGTCTCCAGGCCTGGGCTAGACTCGGAGGGCCTTGAATGCTGCGAGTAGGACAAGAAGCGGGTTGCAGCAGCAGTCAGGACACCGGGCGGGTCAGGCGCTCAAGCCAGGAGACTCCGGGCCCGGCCGGCTCTGGGCTCCAGTGGCTGGGACTCAGCCCTCCTGCTTTGCCGGCCCGCGCCTCCGCGGCCTGCCCTCACCTGATCCAGGTTCTCGTCGCTGCCGCTGTCCTCCGTGTCTGAGTCGATCACGACGCGGCCTTTCCGCTTCTTTACCATGTTGGTCCCCCGGCTCCCACGCCGGACGCCGCCCGGACTCCCCTCTTGCCCGCCTGCCAGTGGGACCGCCACTGCCGCCGAAGCCGCCGCTGCTCGACCCACACAAAGGCGACCGCGCATGCGCGCTCCGCTCCGCCCCTGACCCCGCCCCCCGCCAGGCGCACGCCGTTCGCTGGCGCCCGGCGCCCCGCCCTGCCCCACCCCCGACGCACCGTGGGAGGCGGGGCCGTATGCTCACGGTTTCCCGGCAGAGCACTGCTGTTGTCTTGCCGGGGACCGGCCCCGGAAACCTTGGCTGTTTCTCGGCTGCCAGGCCCGCGCTCGGTAGGCTACCTACCTATCAGGGGCTGAAGCCCGAAGGACCTAGGTCCGTTCTGAAAGCACACGCATCTCCATCCTATCAGTTCTCCCAAACTGATGGAGTGTGGAAGACCACTTCGAGGGTTACCCCAGTGGGCAGCACAGTCGTCCCGGACTTGCCGAGCACACCGGTTGAGGGACCGATCCTACCTACGTGAACTATCCAAGTCACAGCTGAATTGGGACCCGAAGAATGCATCTGAGTTACCCAAAAGAAGAATGGACGGAAGAGTGTTCCAAGCAGAGAACTGCGTGGGATAAGGCCCAGCGATTTGGTTCGATACCCATCCCCGACAAGCAAACAAACAAACAAAACCGGAGAGAGAGAAAGACAAACCTTTGAGATCCGGGAACTGAAATTCTTTATAGCCGGAGCAGCAGGTGTGGTTAGGGAGATGGGTGGGGGGAAGGATGCGGCTCCTGTCGTTTGGAGCCTAATATGCTATACTAAGGGATTACTTGGGAGAAGAAAGAAGTCCCAGATAGGGATGATGTTCAGATTCTGGTTTAGGAAGCTGGTGGCAAGTAGGCCCTTTATCAAAATAAGAAAGTTCAAAAACAGAGAAGATGATGTGTGGAAGAAAGAAATTCGGTTTGTATCTTTTCAGTTTGAGGTCAACTATGAAAAAAGTAGCTCCAGAATTTATTTTTCTTTCTTTCTTTCTTTCTTTCTTTTTTTTTTTTTAGAACTTAGAATATAAGGTAAGGAGCATAAGTAATAATTTGAAACTGCTCTCAGAACTGTTGGAGCCCATTAATTCATTAATTCTGGTAGTGAACTTAGGAATTAGTTCTTTGGGCAAGCCAATGAATTCTTGCTCCCTTACTCCCCTTTGCCCTTTTCTGTATAAATTTTATTTTTTCCACAAAGTTACACATACAAATGTAAATGCCTTAAAATAATAAAGAACCTATGTCATACACAGAGAGGTCCCTGGAAATAAATACTTACTTCAGTGTCCAATTTGTGTTGTTACTTGAAAAGGTGTTCAGGATTAAGTTGAAGGAAATAACCTAAATAAAGCCCCGCTACCTCTTTACTCCTGAAGACTTTTCCTAAAATATACCACTAGACATCTGATCCCCCAGCATACCTTTGAATGAGCCCATGGCCAAGATGAAAATGACCAGAGCATCTCTCCCAATTCTAGCCACCTGAAAGCCTAGTGCCCTTCTATGAGGACTCTAAATGTGTTAATACACAGAATTTCTTAAAAAAAAAAAAAGCTATAATATAATCAGTAGCCCTTGACTAGAATTTTAAAAGCTGTGTCCTTTGAGTGAAATCTGTTGATTTGTTTTAGTTTGGTTATGCTGTACTTGGGGTTGAACCCATATCCCTTCCCTTTTTTAGACAGAATCTCACTAAGATGCCCATGCTGACCTTGAAGTTCCATTCTTTTTTCAGCTTCCCATGTTGCTGAGATTATAGGCCAACACTACTGCACCCAGATGAAACCTTTTGATTTTCATATTTCTGTAAGGAGCTCTCATTATTCATGTACTGGAGTTACTCCATATTGAGACTAATCAGTGTCTAAATCATCTAAATGAAGAGAATAACCATCCTGCACTCAACTCCCTCCTTTTTAATTATTTATTTATTTATTTTTATTATTAGTTGTTCAAAACATTACAAAGCTCTTGACATATCATATTTCATACATTTGATTCAAGTGTATTATGAACTCCCATTTTTACCCCGTATACAGATTGCAGAATCATGTCGGTTACACATCCACATTTTTACATACTGCCATACTAGTGTATGTTGTATTCTGCTGCCCTTCCTATCCTCTACTATCCCCCCTCCCCTTCCTCAACTCCCTCTTGAGTTGGCTTTCCCAAATACTAAACCTGTGAAAGCTTCCAATTAATAAAATGATGATGATAATAATGAACTCGTAAGGTTTTTATAAGGTTTATATGAGTTAGCACATGTAAAAAGGCAGCGCAGGATGGGAGGGTGCTTCAAATGCTTAGTAGCAAAGACTAAATAATAAATGTCAGCTATAATTGTTATTATACTTTGAGGAGGGAGACTGTACAGCAGGTGTTGGAGAAAAAGGATTAGAGATGGGATTTTTGTTTTATTCTGTTTATTTTTTGCAGTGCTGGGGATTGAAGCTGGGGCCTGGCATGTGTTTGGCAAGTGCTCGACTACTGAACTACATCCCAGTCTCAGATTTACTTTATTATTATTATTTTTTTAAATTTTTAATTTTTTTTTAGTTGTAGATGTACAGAGTATATTTATTTATTTTTATGTGGTGCTGAGGATCAAACCCAAGGCCTCACACGAGAGGCAGGGGCACTGAGCTACAGCCCCAGCCCCCCAGATTTACTTTAAAAGAAATTTTTTTGGTTCATAATAGTGATGTAACATTAAGATTCATATCCTAGATTTAGTTTTGAAGTGTTGGGGAGAAAACCCAGGGCCCTACCCATGCTGGGCAAGTGTTCTATCACTGAGCCATGTCCCCAGCCCAATTTTTATTTTATTTATTTATTTATTTATTTTTTAAACATTTCTTTTTTTTTTTAAATATCTATTTATTTTTATGTGGTGCTGAGAATCGAACCCAGGGACTCACACATGCTAGATGGGCACTCTACCACTGAGCTACAACCCCAGCCCCTATCAATTTTTATTTTTTACTTTATAGTCTTTGGTGCTGTTTGAACTTTTTATACCAAGAATAAATTTTTATCATAATTTTAAAGTAGTTTTGGAAACTAGATTTTTTATTTATAAAATGATTTCTCCGTATTATAAATCAACTTAGAAGGGTATAAAGGGAAAGAAAACTATATAAAATTCTGTCATTCCAAGAAATCCATGAATTCTTTTCTGAAACAAAATTGTCTTTGTGTGCATATATTTATTTAACATGTATTTATCAAGTACATATTACATATCTGAACAAAACAAGTCCCCTGCTCTCAAGAGCTTACATTCATGACGTACATATTGCAAAAGGCATGTACATTTAAAATGCTGTAAGGACCCCTTTTTATACAGGCCACCCCAGAGGACAAAAGAAATTTTTTACATCTGTTGTTTGAGAAAATGTAAAGTGGCAAAAACTATGGGTTCACTAATAAATGAGTTGGTTTTCTATTCCTTACAATCTATATATCTTTCTCTTTTTGGTACTGGGGATTGAACTCAGGGGCACTCAGCCACATCCCCAGTCCTATTTTGTATTTTTTATTTAGAGACATGTTCTCACTGAGTTGCTCAGCGCCTCGCCACTGCTGAAGCTGGCTTTGAACCATGATCTACTCTTGCCTCAGCCTCCTGAGCCGCTGGGATTACAGGCATGCACCACTGAGCCCAGCTCACAACCATATTATTATTTTTTTTAATTAAAAATAAGCAGCTGGGCATGGTGGCGCAGGCCTGCAATCCCAATGGCTTGAGAGATTGAAGCAGGAGGAGAGAGAGTTCAAAGCCAGTCTCAGCAACTTAGCTAGACCCTAACCAATTTAGAGAGACCCTGTCTCAAAATAAAAAGGACTATGGATTTAGCTCACTGGTACAACAATCCCTGGGTTAAATCCCCAGTACTAAAAAGAGAAAAAAAAGTTTATGTGTGTGCCAGTTGCAGTGGTGAGGAGGATCACGAATTCAAAGCCAGCCTCAGTAATGGTGAGATGCAAAGCAACTTAATGAGATCCTGTCTTTAAATAAAATCCAAAAAAAATTAGTGCTGGGGATGTGGCTCAGTGGTCAAGCACCTGAGTTCAATCCCCAGTACCCACCCCACCAAAAAATGTGTGTATGTGAACTTTGGCAGAAAGACTAGGGGAATCATTGCTGTGAATATTTGCCATGTGTGGAGAGTGGTGACAGTAACTGGGAGACCAATGTTTGAGATTGGGGTCCCTGATGACTTCATGGCTGTGGCATACTTGGAGGCTGGGAAACTCTTATACAAAGGCGTAGGACACTGGAACCTGCTAGTTTGGTGGCAGGCGCTGGTCGCAGCAGCCATGGTGTTGCAGGGACCTTCCTTTAGGTGTCCTTTTCTCTTTAAGACCTGAGTTCAGAATCTGAAAATAGATATGAAAGTGGGCAGGAAATGCTAACTTTTTACTGGAGGCACCTGCTGTCAATTTTCTGACCTATTTCCTGTCCTTGTTCCACTAACAATCTCCCTAATTCCCTGAGGGTCAGGCGTCCTTGTCTGTCACTCTAACCTTCCAATTATAATCATTGCATCTACCTAGTTTCTGGCAGTAAGTACTGCCACCTGGCCTCTTATTTGAAGGCCCAATCACCCCATTGCCATTAGTGAGCCTAGCTTTGTAACAACCTCTCCTGTAGTTAGTCATGACCCACATGATAGAAACACTATCAAACTCCTAGTGATACTGGTGCACCTTTTACCAATATGTTTTCTTTATGACCTTGGTAATGGTGTATCTTCTAGGTATTTCCATGAACCAATCATTTGACAGATTTTTCTAGCCTTATATTTTTCACTTACATTCATTTCTCTAAGCTTTCTAATCATAAACAATCAGTTTTGGCAGTTCTGCCTTTTTTATTTATTTTTTTTACTTCACATGAGCTGTAGCATTTTCCATGCTTTTAATAGCCACTGTAGTAGCAATTCTGCAAATTTGGGATCTTTAGCAAGGTAATGAATGCTGTATCTCAAGAAAGTGCTTGCCTACCACATGTGAGGAACTAGGTTTGATCCTCAGCACCACATAAAAAAATAAACAAGTAAAGGGATTGTGTCCATCTATTTTTATTATTT